GGTCGAGGCAAAACTGCGGCAGGTGAAGCGGGTGGCACGCAATGCGAGCCGCAGCTTCGCCACCGTCTTGGTCGAGTTACGCACCAAGCGTTCCTCGCCGTTCCAGGCATACTCCTCGCCAAGAAACACGTTGGTTTCCGTGGCCATACTCAGGAGCTCCTCGTCGGACGCCGCAGCGAGGGACTCTCGGTCCGGCGACGTCAGCAGATTCGCCGCGCGGATGCGATCCAGAATGCGTCGCACCGCCGAAAGAAAAGCGGCCTCCTGGCCCGACTCCGCGGCAATCATAATGTTGTCGATCATCGTGTCCACCACAACCGGGGTGTCGATGTCGACAATCATCCAAGTCACTGCCTGCCCAACCGCCACGCTCCAGCGGGCGCCGGTGGGAAGAGTTCGCAGACGGTAGTACGTCGGCTGACCCTTGGCGCGAAACACAAACTTGTCACGAAGGGCCTCCGGGAGCGGAATCGTGTCGTAAAAGGCCTCAAAGTCAATTTGCAGCATGTACTTCGCGTATCGCAGCGACTGTCGGCGCGCGAGGCGTGTTGGGTACTGCACTCGCGGCACCTCGTGCTTCGTAATGACAGCGTTGAGGTGCGGCTCCGTGATGAGCCGGCGCCTGCCCTTGAGCTCAGGGACGGCAAACGCATTCACGCCATGGACACCCTGCGGGAGGACCGCACCGTGGATGCGTCCCGCATCGCACGGCTCAAATTTCCCCATCTCCACTGCTCTCGCGATATCCTCCATAGGGAGTTGTGTCGTCTTGATCGTTCGCGACGTGTGGAGATTGTCAAAGTGGGCTGGGTCCAAGTACCGCCACGCCTTCTGCAGGAACTCCGGTGTCGCGCTGTGTGCCGTCGGTAGTGCCCACAGCGCTGCCACGTCCAGTGGAGTGGTGTGCTTGAGGTGCAGTGCCCACTGCTGCGTTGAGAGCGGGAGGTCCACCGTCGGGTGGGCCACTCCCTGCACGCGCTGAATCTCAAGCAGCAAATCACGCTCCTTGAGACCCAGCATCACTGCCGTCGGTGCCCTCGCCCCCAAAAATTCCGCTCGGGGCGGGCACGGTCGTCGTCGCTGGCCGGCTCGGTTTCGTCCTCCTCCTCCGCCGACGCCGCTGTTGTCCCAGCTTCTGCCCGCGGCGTTGGGGGGCCAAAACCCAGGTAGCGCCGCAACGTTTCGATGCGCGTGTGGCCCGTTATGGCCATCAACTCCTCCGTCGACATCCCCTTCGCCGCGAGGAAGCGCACGGCTCCCTTGCGCACCGAGGGAAGGGCCGTGTTCCGGTTCTGTCGCCGAAGCGCCGCACGGATGGCGTCTCGGCATTCGTTCGCCAGGCTCCTGTTGAACAGCCGCTGCGATGGCCGTCGGTAGCCTATCAGTTGCCGCAGAAGGGACACGTCCGTGCGCCGCAGCGTCGAAGCCACGGTGTACGACGACCTGCGGAAACGGGCTCCCTTCCCCCGCCGCATCGCCAGCGAGACCTCGAACAAGTTGCGTTCGTCGGGGTTCGCATCCGGCGCAGTCGTCGCCACATCGGCGCACAGCAGAGACGAGATGTCGCCCGCGCGCGCCGCAAACCTCCACATTAGAGTGAGGAAGAGCGCCGCCATGGGGTGTCGCCGCAGGAGCTCGCTCCTTGCACGGACAAACTCCGTCACAGTCACAGGAGCAGGCGGGGACGCTGTCGATTCCCGCTCGAAACGCTGGGCCGCCTTCATCGCCGCGCGCCACTCGGGGTACCGCATAAGCTCTATCCCCCGCGTCTGGTTGCTGTACAGCGGCAGGTCGCGCAACGCGCCTGAGATCGCAGCCAGGCTCTTGGCCACCGTCGCCCACTTCCACCGCCGTTTTACGGCCATCTCGCGTACCAGCTCGATCGCCGCGGAAGCAAGGTTCATCCCGAGCAGGCGGGCCGGCATCGCGCGGAGGTCCTGTAGCCAGCGCAGGTGCAGGGTGCGTGCCGCGGGTGTCAACGCTGACCACGCCATCTGGCTGACGTGTGGGGGTCGTCCGCGGTAGAGGTACCAATGTCGCGGGCAGGTGTCGTCGACCCCGTTCTCGCACCTGCCGCCGTCGTTTAAAGACTGTTCCACCGCCGCCCTGAGCGCCTCATCCATCTCGGAGTGCCCTTCTTCCGAACTGTCGTCGTCGTCGTCGTCGTCAGATTCCTCAGTATTAGGGCCGATTTCGTTGTTGGTGAAACCTCTTTTTCTCCTCTCCTCCATTTGTTGCGCCTCAAAGGACGAGGGAGGAAGGCGGGGAGAAAAGAATATAGGATGCGCGGGTCTTTGTTTGCGGGTTGTTGTTGCCTCCGTAAACCTCTCGCTCCTCGTTTGCTGCTGTGTTGTGCGATCGTGTGTTGTCGTCGCCAACCCGTCCCACAACGGTGGGAGGCCCCTGCGCATTTGTCCTAGGGGCACGGCTGTTGCTGTTGCTGTTGCTGTTGCTGCCTGGTCC